CCAAGACCCTCAGGCCCTTGGCAGCCGGGGTGGGACGGAATGTCTCCACTCTGTGTTAGAACCACTGTGATGTTCTCCCACTTTGAGACATGAAGGGTCCCTTCTCCAGGGCACGTGACTTTTTTTAAAAAAATATATTTTATTGAAATATAATTCATGTGTAATGAAATACACAAAACTAAAGTGACATGGGTCAGTGCATTTTTTTTTTTTTTTAGCAATGTTTTCTCTCCTCCCCTCCTACCCTGATAACCAACAGTTTCCTTCCATGTATAAACCTTTCCTTGACTTTTTTACAATAATGAACTAATACTGTATTTGTTCTTCTGAGAGTGACTTATTTCACTCAGCATGATGTCCTCCAAGTTCATCCGTGTTATGCGGTGTTTTGCAGATTGTACATCATTCTTTAGGGTTGCATAGTATTCCATTGTGTGTATGGACCATAGTCTGGTTATCCATTCCTCAGCTGATGGACACCTAGGTTGTTTCCATCTGTTTGCTACTGTGAATAGCAGGGCACATGACTTCTGCCCTTTGCAGCCACCAGTTTGTCCAGCGAGAGCCTGCCTCAGGCCGTTGGAAATCTAGGGCCAAGTGGCATGACACTGGTGGCAGATGGCAAAGATGCCTCAGCTGGAAGATCTAGAAGCTCAGCACCTGCAGTCTGAGGTCATTGGCACATTCCCTCTGCAGCCCATGGGGCTCCTTTTCCCTCACTGTTCCCTCTGGGCAGGGACACCCTATTCATGGTGACAGCCCACGAACTATGTGTGGCGTGGTAGCATCGATGCACTGTCCCTGAGGGCCTGCCGGGGGCAGCTACCTCAGTCCAAGGCTGCCAGCGTAGGACTTCATGGGAGAGCTGATAAGGCGTCCCATCTCCTGTAGTTCCGTGGGATGGGCTTGCTTGATGGGCTGGCACGAGGAACACACTTCGGGGGGAAGCAGGCTGATTTAGGAGGCACCTGCATGGCATGAGCAGTTTGCTGTTGGCTGAGAAACCCAAAGGTTGGCAGTTCAAATCCACCTAGTGGCTCCATTGTAAAGATTACAGACAAAAACACCCTGTGGAGCGGTTCTGCTCCATCAGGCTGGGTCGCCACGAGTCAGGAACTGGCTTGACGGCACGTAACAGCATAGCAGACGATGGGGACCTGTAGGCTTGGGGGCCTAGTCCAGGTCCGTCCTGTGGGAGCTTCGCCGCAGCTTTCACACCCTCCCCCCACTCTGTGAGATGGGCAGCCCGCCATCTCATGCGCCGGGGTGGCCAGCACCTTTCCGGGCACGGATGCTGGCCCCTCGGGAAGCTCGGCCCGAGCCCCTTCCGTCTCAAGCATTAGCTTGAGCTTCCACTGACTGGAGACATCTCAGCCCCCACCCCATGCTGCTCTGTACCAGGCAAGTTCTGCATTTTGTGGGGTCCAACCGAGGCTCCACACAGAACAAACGTCTGACTTCTCCTTGGCACTGTTTGCCCGGGGGTGGTGCAGACAGACCCGTACCTGCCTGTGTCCCCAACTCAGAGCAGTGTCCCATCTGCACTGACCATGCTGGCCATGCGCCTTACATGCAGTGACCGTGCTGGCCATGTGTCCTGCCTGGCAATCCCATGCCGACCACGAGTCTCACCTGCACTGACCGTGCCGGCCACGCACCCTGCATGCACTGACTGTGCCGGCCACACGTCCCGCCTGCACTGACCATGTGGGCCCTGGGTCTGGGTACCACACAGGCAGCCCTAACCTTACCACACTCCTGTTCTCTCTACCCTAGTGCCCTTCCGGGAGGCCCCGGCGTACTCCAACAGAAGGCGGCGGCCGCCCACCACGCTGGCCGCGCCCCGGGTGCTGCTACGCTCCAACAGCGACAACAACCTCAATGCCGGTGGCCCCGATTGGTCTGTGTGCTCCACGGCCCCCTCGCACCGCAGTCTCTCGCCACAGTTGCTACAGCCCATGCCCAGCACCCCGGATTGTGCCGGGAAGACCCTCGGGAGCTACACCCCTGGACCCCGCAGCCGGTCCCCGTCGCTCAACAGGCTGGGTGGTGCCGGCGAGGACGGCAAACGGCCACAGCAGCTCTGGCACATCGGGTAAGGAGCCCTTCAGAGCCCGGACAGCAGGGTTAGGGCCAACGGAGTGGCCAGGCTGAGGCCGGCAGGATGGTCGGGCTGGAGCTGGTGGAATGGCAAGAGCTGTGAGCTGGCAGTGGCCAGACTTGCCTGTGGCTGGCAGGGTAGCAGGATTGCCACTGGCACCAAAGACAGGCCGCCACACCCTTTGGTCCTAGTTTAAGTTTGAGACTCACCCAAAGGCGATGGAAAGCCTGCTTTCTTCTGAGTCCACATGTTGGGAACGCTTCCAAGCGTGTCTGCCCGCTGACCCTACAGAGCCACCTCTGAGGTCATGATCCTGCATGTCATGGTCATGGTGACTGCTCGGGACAGAGCTCGATCAGCGGGGAGGCTGGGCCTAGCCTGCCGGGTGGCTCAGGTTCTGCTGGGAGGCCGGCCGTCTTTCCTTCCTGCACCTTGCCTCCCAGTCCTCAGCAGGGACTGAGGGGAGGGAAGGTAGCGCTCCCCAATGGCACGTTTGCAGAGCTGCCGTGGTGGAAGTTCATGGCCGCTCTGCCAGTGAGAACCTGGCCTGGACGAGACCCGGCAGCTCAGAGGTGGAGTTGTGTGCCAAGGCCCATGTTCCTTGTGGTAACGGTAGCAGCCTCTCTGACGGCGTGCGTGCACTTTGAGCACCCACATCCACATCACATCAGCAGCACTGAGGCAGCCTGGCGGGGGGCTGCGCCTGGTCCCTGTGTCAGAGGGGCAGACCCAGCCGCACAGGGCAGACTTGAGGGGAGCAGGACCGCCCTGGGCCGCTGACTGGGGTCTGAATCCTCCCCCGGTGCTCTGCCTCCCAGGAAGCAAGAGGGGCTGCATTCGCGCTCAGACCTTGCGTGCCACTGTCGGTGTCTCCAGAATTCCTTGAAGATCAGAACAGGGGCTGCCTTGGGCCACCTTGTTGTTGGCCTCAGGGCTGCGCTGGGTGCCGGAGTCGCTGTTAGCACCCCTTCGCGCTCTCACCCGTGTCTGTCAGCCCAGTGCCTCATCTCAAAGGGATGGCTGACTGTCCCCAGGTACCGCTGCCATGCAGAGCAGAGGCAGGACTCCAAACCAGCTCCCTGCTGACTGGCCATCTCTCTGAGCTCTCCTCGCCATGGCACTGGCTCCTGCTGGCTCTGTGGTTTGGGGCCATTTGAATGTGCCTGTTGGTTCTTGGTCTGCCCGCCCCCCACCCCCACTTCTGTCTCTTGCCTCCTTCACAAGCCCCTGGTCTCTGAAGGACTTGGATTTGCCCAGACTGCCTGGTGTGTTTGGGGGCCCTGGTGCCGTATCTCCAGCTAAGATAGGGTTGGAGAGAGGAACAGTCGCCCCCTTCTGCAAGCCTAGTGTATGTCAGGGGCTTAGGGCTGGCAGGGAGCCCTAGGTGGGTGCCAGTGCTTCCTGGGGGCCCAAGGGGAGCTTAATGCTCTGACCTTCACCTGCAGGCCAGGCTTCAGAGCTGCAGCACAGAGCCTGTGGGTGAGGGTGCCATGGGCGCCCAAGCCTCTTGGCCCCTTGGTGGGCTGCAGGGCCTGGTGGTCTAGAAGCAGGATGGCTCCAAGCTCACATCATGCTGTAGAGCTGACACCCCCCCTGAGCCAGTTCACTGGCAAATGGTGAGCTCCAGTTTCCAGCTCTGGGCTAGATTCTCGCTGGGAGGAGCCCCAAGGGAGAAGTCCCAGGTGCTAAGAACAGTTTAAAGCTAAATTAAAGGGTTCCCCAGAGGCGGCAACTGCACTTTACGCTGTTAGCTGGAATTATGACTGTAATTTTAAAGAGAGTGTGTCCCCTTCCCCAGTACGAAATCCAACAAGAGAGTAAGGTAGTGTGGTCCTCGCTTGCACAGTACTGCTCAGGGGGAGTGAAAAGAGCAGCTGGGACCCATCACAGGGACCCTTCCTAACACTTCCTCGTGGCCTGTGCTTGCGTCTGCGTGCATGTGTGTGCATGTGTGCACACTCCTGTGTACTTCTGTGTGTGCATGCATGTGTGTATACTCACGTGCATGTGTACATCGTGTGTGTTTCTGTCTGGGTGCTTGTGTGCATGTGTGTACATTGTGTGTGTGCCTGCATTTTTGTGAGCATTTGATGTGCATTTGTGTGCACATTTTATGTACATGTGTGTACATACATATGTGTATGCTTTGTGCCCATGTGTGCGTGCATATGTGTATATTTGCGAATGTCAGTGCACATGTGTATGCATGTTTTTGTATGCTTGTGTGCATGTGTGTCCATTTTGTGTTTCTGTGTATGTGCTTATACGCATGTATATGTCCATTGTGTGCGCATTAGTATCTTTGAGCGTTGAGCATGTACATGGATCATGTGTGTGCACATGTGTGTGGACATGTGTGCATGCATGTGTATATGAGATAGCTTGAATTCTCACCGGCTGGATACTGGCTTCTGGTTCTCCCATTGGGTGCTGTGTAACCTTAGACAAATTACTTTACCACTCTGAGCCTCATCTTTGTTGTCTGTAAAATGGGATCATAAAATGCCATCTTCGGTTATTCTGAGGATGAGGCCATTTCTGGGGTGCTTAGCATACCGTCTGGCAGGCAGCCTGGTGCTCAGCCTATCCCAGGGGACTGCTGGCAGTGAGGGGCTCGCCAGACATAGGACTTTTAGCAGTGGAACTAGATGGTTGGCCTACAGGACTGCGGACCCACTGCCTGCCCAAGGCAGGGGCTCAGGCTGACCTGCTGACACCTGCTGGCCGGGCAGCACCCTGCCCTGTCCTTCTTCCCCCTTGGCCCATCCAGGCCTCCCGTGTGACCACCTCCTCTCACTGGCCTGGGCCTCAGCAGCCCTCTCGGCCAGAGCCCTAATCACAAAAAGTTGTGGATCTTGTTGTCGACGCAAGGGTACAGAAACCTAGGTCAGGAATGCAGTGGACATGTGGACGTGGCTACGGCCAGCCTCTGGCCAAGCACTCAGGCAGATGGGCTGGAGGTGGCCTGAGGCCCCACCTGGCCTGCCCCTGCCTCCTACCAACCTCCTTGCTGCCACTGCTGACTGCCCCCTGTGTAGCCGGCCCTAGTTAGCCAGCTGATCCAAAGCCAAAGACACCCCCCCCCCCAGGATAAGATGGTGCTTGGAGCCCTCTCCTGACAGCTGGCTGTCTAGCAGCGTTCTGACGAGAGAGAGGCTACAAGGATGCTGCAGGGTGAGGCTGGGCTGAAGGTCAGAGCAGCTGAAAGTGAGGGCCACCCTACTGACAGCGAGTCGTGAGCATCACACGCCCAGCCCCACCCTGGCCCTTGCTGTTCCTCATTGCCCAGCCCCCGCAAGGGAGCTCAGAGCCCTTCTGTCATCTGTGGTCCCCGTGGTCCCCTGTGGTCACCTATCTGTGGTCCCCGTGGTCCCCTGTGGTCACCTGTCTGTGGTCCCCGTGGTCCCCTGTGGTCACCTGTCTGTGGTCCCTGTGGTCCCCTGTGGTCACCTGTCTGTGGGCCCCGTGGTCCCCTGTGGTCACCTGTCTGTGTCCCCACGGTCCCCTGTGGTCTGTAGTCCCCACGGTCTCCTGTGGTTACCTGCATCCCCATGGTCACCTGTGGTCACATGTCTGTAGCTTCCATGGTCACCCGTGCTCCCCTGTGGTCACCTGTCTGTGGTCCCCATGGTCACCTGTGGGCCCTCCTGCCACTCCCTCCCCGTGTTCTTCCACCCTGTCCTCAGCCTGTTTGCTGCCAGTTCTCTTTGGTTTGGGGCTCTGGTTCAGAGAGGCTGTGGACCAGCTGCCTCAGGCGGGAGGCGCTGCACACCTGGTGTACAACAGCACCCTCTGGGGGCGCTTACTGGCATGGCCAGACCATCTTACTAAGTAGATGCCAGAGAGAGGGTTTGGGGCTCCCCTCCCACCCTGTCTCTCACCCGGGGGCATGGAGGGGAGGATCTGAGGGTCTGCCAGAGCCTTCTAGCTACCCAGATGTCTGACCGGTTCCTGCCCGGGTCAAACAGCTGTCTTTGTGATTACGCACAGTCGGCACTGGGGCTGAGGGCTGCCTGGCCTCCCCCCACCAGGGAGCATTCTGCCCCCACCTCGCATACAAGTTTCCCACGTGGGTTTAGCCCACGGGCTGTGGATTACCTGCTGGGGGCTCACCAGCCCTTTCAAGCCGGGACATCCTGGCCTCTCTCAGGTGGGTGAGGGAAGCCCACCTTCCACCGGGTAGGGGACGAGCTGGCAAGTGCACCCTACCTGGCAGAGCCTGACGGGGCTGCAGGAGGCCTGCCCCTCCCGTGGCTGTTCCCTGGACCTGGTGTTGGAGCTGAGATGTGTGGGACTCACAGCACCCCCGTGTGTGTCAGAGCAGAGCTATGTCTGTGCGTTTCCAGGGCACGATTTTTTCAGAATGGGATCACCAGGCTGTCTCCTGAGGCATCTGGGTGGACTCAAACCTGAACCTTCTCAGTTAGCAGCTCAGTGTATTCACCCTTTGCATAGGGATTCTGTTTGAGCCTCAAGGGGGATGAAGTGGCAAGAGGGGCCTGCTGCCCAGTGCAGGGGGCCTGGGCCAACCCAGGAAGGTGCTGCTGTTGACGTGAGCAGGGCTGGCTTCCAGTTGTTAATGTCACTGCCCAGGTGGGGAAGGCCCTGGGTCCAGAGATTAGCACCTCAATCAAAGGAGAGGTGTCCACTGAGAGGGCGTGACCATTCAGAGATCACAGCCCAACCCCTTCCAGTGCAGCTGGACCAAGGGTTCTGGAAGGTTCCGAAAGGTTCCAGATGCCAGGACTTGCAGTGATGTCTGGGCTTGCCCTGCATACCTGCTCCTGGGGAGGAAGCCCCTTCTTGTCAGTTGTGTGGGTGTGAAGGCAGCTCCAGGGTACCCTCTGGCTTCTGGTATGTGTCCACCCCTGTCTGTCCTGCTTCTTGCCTCCCTGGGGATGTGTGGACCAGGGCACTAAAGCGCGACACCCCCAGGGGGAGCAGGGACCTAGTTTCCTCATCCAGCCACACGGTGCTTGCTTCTCCACGATGGG